CGTGCGCACTAAGGGCGCCGCCACGCATCCCGGAAGCGCGGGGACCATGGCAGCCGAGGGAGGCGAGACGCGGGGCGGGCCGTCCGTTTTTTTCCTGCACCCGGACCTGGGCTTGGGGGGCGCGGAGCGGCTGGTGGTCGACGCGGCGCTTGCGCTCCGCGCGCGCGGCTGCCGGGTGCAGATCTGGACGCCGCGCTACGACCCCGCGCGCTGCTTCTCGGAGACGCGCCAGCTGGAGGTGCGGACGGCGGGCTCCTGGCTGCCGCGGAGCATCCTGGGAAGGGGCCACGCGCTCTGCGCCGCTCTGCGCATGATCGTCCTGGCGCTGCACGTGCTCTTGCTCAGCGGGGAGGAGTTCGACGTCTTCGTCTGCGACCAGGTGCGGGGAGGGAGGGCGCGGGATGCCAATCTCCAGATCAGGGCTCTAGTCGGGGGGGGAGCTCTCAGGTATGGAGCTCCGGAAGAGAACCTCTAGGGGGCGGGGCGGTCACGTGGTGAAGCCCCGCCCCCTTCTTTACCCCGCCCTCTGCTTCGATCCTCATTCCGTTTGGGAATGAGGATGAAGCAGGAGGGTAAGTAGCCGGGCCTTCTGACACACTTCCGGTGATGTCAGGGGGTGTGGCCTTCTGTCACTTCCGGTGATGTCAGGGGGCGTGGCATATGCAAATAAGTTATGCTAATGAGTTATGCTAATGAGCTCCGGCAGCTCTTTTTCTACAACAAGACCCCTGCTCCAGATGGTGGCTGAAGATCTCCCGAGTTGCAATCACTGCTCCCTCTAAGCTGTGGAGTCTTGTGAGCAAAAATTCTGCTTTGTGAGCGACTGGCATTAAAGTTGTGAGTGAGCAATTTGGCTACTGCATAGATTAGTTTGCTCTGGAGCCACCCTTCCTAACCGAACACAAAAATGTGTGAGCCGGAGGCTAAAAAACTGTGCACTAGCTCACACTAACTCAGCTTAGAGGAAACACTGGTTGCAACTGGTCTCCAGGTGACACAGATGAGCCCCCCTGGAGACAATGCATGCTTTGAAAGTTGGTCTGCATGGTATCAGACCCTGCTGAGGTCGCGACCCACCCATCAGGCTCCATCCCTCTCCAGGAATTTAGCGACCCAGAGATAGCAACTATAGGCGAGCCGGCTGGCTGACAAGCAGGTGCATTGGCTAGAGCAAAGCGCATTTTCCTCAAAATATCCTCTGTAAACCGCCCTGAGACCCTCCGGGGCCAAGGGCGGTATAGAAATCGAAACTATAAATAAAGAAATAAAATGTGGAACCAGACAAAAACTAGGGGGCTCCAGCATAAGAGGAACCACTTGCGTGTTTTAACTGGGTTAGTTTGTGAAACCAAGGCTGGCTCTCAGTTACTGTGGCTGCAGTGCTAAGGACACTTTTCCTAAGCCTCATTGAATAATGTGGGACTTGCTTCTGAGTAGGCCTGTTTAGGGCAGACAAAAGGAAATACTTCTTTACACCACTGTCCACCACTGAAGGAAGTGTAACAACATAGCTCACTCCTGATGCATGAGTGATTGAAATGTGGGACTTGCTGCCGGAGGCCATAGTGATGGCCACAAGCACAGACAACTTAAAAGGGATGAGACAGATTCATGGACTGTCACTGGCTACTAGCCACAGTGACTGAAGGGAACTTCCTTGCTCAGAAGCAATAAATCTGAATCCCAGAGCCAGGAGGCAACATCAGAGGAAGGTCTTGGCCTCAGTTCCCTGTTGTCAGCCCTCCAGGGGAACTGGCTGGCCACTGTGTGAGGCAGGATGCCGGACTAGATCGACCACTGGCCTGATACAGTAGGGCTCTTCTGATGTTCTGATTCTTTATTTGCCTTGAGAGATGCTGGTTTCCTTTCCTTCTCTCCAGAGAGGCTGGAATAGGAACCATGCCTTCAGGCATCACTATATACTGTAGTTAAGATAAATGTTGGTTAATAAACCAAGTACTGATCCTGGTTTGAGACACCCGGCTAACTGTAGGTCGTGGAGTGGCCAGCATTCTGACAAGTGCTGTCACTATTATTTAAGCCGCTGTCCAAAATGAGTAGCCCCAAAAGTCTTACTTGTGTGGTTCAAAAATCTGAGTGAGTCCAAAGTGGTATTATGGGAGGGAAGGTGGCACGGTATAGCTCAATCTCGTCAGATCACGGAAGCTAAGCAAGATCTGTGGTGGTTCATACTTGAGTGGGAGACCACCAAGGTAGGTAATCTATAGGCACCAAATGCAAAGCGAAGATGGGTGGCTGTGTGTGTTGTATAGTGGAGCAAAATGCAGATCTGCCCATTAGGATTTCATGTAGCCAGTTTGGTGTAGTGGTTAAGTGTGCGGACTCTAATCTGGGAGAACCGGGTTTGATTCCCCACTCCCCCACTTGCACCTGCTGATGTGACCTTGGGTCAGTCACAAGCTCTGGCACAGCTGATCTCGCCAGATCACGGAAGCTAAGCAAGGTCTCTGCTGGTTCGTACTTGAGTGGGAGACCGCCAAGGTAGGTAATCTATAGGCCCCAAATGCAAAGGGAAGATGGGTGGCTGTGTGTGTTGTATAGTGGAGCAAAATGCAGATCTGCCCAGTAGGATTTCATGTAGCCTGTACAAACAGAGGCAGCTTTGAAATAACCCTTGACAGATAGCGCGCGTGTGAGCTGGTTCTTACTGGGCTTTGGAACTGGGTGTTGCTTTGATAGCGGAGCAGAACCCCCTCCCTCCAGTGTTTGATTGTACTCTCTCAGAGTTGCTGCTTCTTAAATGGCACTGTCCACCACTGAAGGAAGTGTAACAACATAGCTCACTCCTGATGCATTAAGAGCATGCTTTTTAGTCATGCACTGAACCAGGGCATCATTTTCCTTTTGTCTCTCCAGGTATCTGCATGCATTCCAGTTCTCCGTCTAGCCCGGACACGTAAGAAGGTTCTCTTCTACTGTCACTTCCCCGATCAGCTCTTGACCAAGAGGGAGTCCTTTATGAAATCTCTCTACAGAGTCCCTCTGGACTGGTTGGAAGAGTACACAACTGGTATGGCGGACTGTATCCTCGTAAACAGTCGTTTCACTGCAACCATCTTCAAAGAGACATTCAAGTCCTTGTCTCACATCGATCCGGATGTCTTGTACCCATCCTTGAACATCGCCACATTTGATACCGTCAATCCTGCAGATGTGGCCAGCATCGTTCCCAACAGGAAAACGTTCTTGTTTCTTTCGATCAATCGGTACGAAAGGAAGAAAAATCTCATGTTGGCTTTGGAAGCTTTACACGACCTTCGTGGGAGACTGAACGCCCAGGAGTGGAAGGAGGTTCATCTAGTTTTGGCTGGTGGTTATGACAAAGCAGTTAAAGAAAACATGGAGTATTATGAAGAATTGAAACTTGCCGCTAAGAAGCTGAATATCGGTGAACAAGTCACTTTCCTAAGGTCTTTTTCAGATGAACAGAAGGTGACTCTTCTTAGTAACTGTACCTGTGTGCTGTATACACCAAGCAATGAGCATTTTGGCATCGTTCCTTTGGAGGCAATGTATATGAGATGCCCGGTCATTGCAGTAAATTCTGGCGGACCTTTAGAATCGGTCGTAAACACTGTGACAGGTTTCCTGTGCGATCCTCTTCCAAATCAGTTTGCAGAAGCCATGGAGAGGTTTGTTAGAGACCCTGCTTTGAAGAGGACCATGGGTGCTGCTGGGAAAGCCAGAGTTGTAGAAAAGTTTTCTTCAGAAGCATTCGGTGATGAGCTGTACCAATATGTTCAAAACTTAATAAAATGAAACTGTAACTTACTGCTTTGTAATATTTGATTTTGTATGAAAGAAATAGCCTAAATTGTTAAGAACCCAAATTGTTTGTGGAGTATAAACGTATGACCATATGTTTTATTAATATTTTTTTTAAAGATTGGACCTTGTTGTGGTACATCACCATATTTCCGTATTTGAACTTGCTTGATGATATTTTGTGGGGGTGGAAAAGGCCTTCAAATCATAGTCAACTGAGGTTGACCCCTTATGGGTTTTTAAGGCAAGAGACATTCAGAGGTGGTTCGCCGTTGCCTACCTCTTTGTAGTGACCCTGGACTCCTTTGGGGGTCTCCCATCCAAATACTCACCAGGACTAACCCTGCTTAGCTTCCGAGATCTGAAGGGACTGGGCCAGCCTGAAGCCATCTGTCAGGAGGACTTCCATGACATTTAGTTAAAAGGGTTAGTCAAGCTAAAAGGGTTAGTCAAGAATAGAAGAGGGCCAACTCTAAAAATCTAATTATGAAACATACAAAAATATACATATATTTATTGAACACAAATTAAAATAACAAATAAGGGCCCAATCATACCTCATATACAAATATAAAAATATAAAAATACAAAGGCTGATAAAATAGACCTAACGCGTTTCGGCCTTCACAGGCCTTCCTCAGAGGTCTAATGCAAGTAGAACATATTGGCTAATATGTAAAAATATACACAATCATACATATACAAAATATGAAATAAAGACCAGAACACAATTGTGTCAAAGTTAAACCACTGGGCAAAAATACAAATGAAATCTCCAGTGCAATCACATGTCCAGTAGTACTTCTCTCTGGTCAACTATATATTCTCCTGAGATTGTATAGCCAAATGTTCCCAATGTAGTGTTCCTTAACTTAAAAGCAGTTTTGAACCAAAAAAAAAAAACCTTAAGGAACACTACATTGGGAACATTTGGCTATACAATCTCAGGAGAATATATAGTTGACCAGAGAGAAGTACTACTGGACATGTAAAGCACCTGCAAGCACAATGGATGTCTTAGCTTGGAGGGAGGGGCCGCAGTTTCCCCAGCATTCCCATTCTACCTCCCCAGCATATTCCCTGTGCATTAAACCCGTCGTTCTGAAGGACTGACACAGTCCTAGCTTAAGCATGTCTTCACAAAAGAAAGTATCATTGAGGTGAACAGGGCTTACTCCCTAGTAAGCGTGTTTAGGACTGCAGCCTACTGTAACAGTAGTACGGTAACACTGTACTGCTCTGTGTTTGTTTTGTGAATCTAAGGAATTTCTACTTGATGAAGAAGAGGAAGATTGGATTTATACCCTGCCCTTCACTCAGAGTCTCAGAGCATCTTACAATCTCCTTCCCCTCCCCACAGCAGGCACCCCGTGAGGTAAGTGGGGCTGAGAGAGCTCTTTCAAGAACTGCTTGAGAGAACTGCTCTGACAGAACTATGGCTTGCCCGAGGTCATCCAGCAGCTACAAGTGGAGGAGTGGGGAATCAAACCCGGTTCTCCCAGATTAGAGTCTGCACACTTAACCACTACACCAAACTGATCAACATAGAACTGGTGCAGTAGAAAAGGGTGAGAGTCCAGCAGCACCTTAAAGACTAACAAAGTTTGAGTCCAGTAGCACCTTTAAGACTAACAAAGTTTGAGTCCAGCAGCACCTTTAAGACTAACAAAGTTTAATTCTGGGTATAAGCTTTCACCTGCATACGCACCTCTTCACACTTCTGAAACTAAACCCAGCGAAGACAGTGGTCCTGTGCCTGAGTCGACGCAGTTTGGGGTTGGGGCTCCCTCTCCCGACCTTCGATGGGGCGTCGTTGATGCCAGCGTCAGAGGTTAGAAGTTTGGGAGGGCTCCTGGATCACTCCTTAACGATGGAGGCCCAGGTGGCAGCCACTGCCAGATCGGCATTTTACCATCTTATGCAGGCTCGGCAGTTGGTTCCCTTCCTCGACCGCGGTGACCTGGCTACAGTGATCCATGCGACGGTCACCTCAAGGCTGGACTACTGTAACACTCTACATGGGGCTGCCTTTGTCGCAGATCTGGAAGCTGCAGCTAGTGCAGAATGCGGCGGCCAGGCTGTTGATGGGTCTCCCCAAGTGGGAGCACATCCAGCCTGGGCTGAAAGCGTACCGAATCCGCTTCAAAGTGCTGGTTCTTACCTTTAAAGCCCTATATGGCCAGGGTCTGACCTACCTGAGAGACCGCCTTTCCCCCTAAAAGCACTTCGGTCGGGGGCACAACACCGCCTGGTGATTACAGGCCCCCAGGAGGCAAAGCTTGCTTCGACCAGGGCCAGATCCTTCTCAGTGGCGGCCCCCACCTGGTGGAACGAGCTCCCGGAGGAGATCAGGGCCCTGTGGGACCTTATGCAGTTTCGCAGGGCCTGCAAGACGGAGCTCTTCC